GGACACGGTGTTGAAGGCCTTGCTGAAGTCCAAATTTGGACAGATTATTGGGCAAATTATTGGACATATCAACCATCTGGTATTTTTATTAATGTATCTTTTGTTTCAATCAGGCATAATCCCACTAAGATATTTAATAAATAATTCACATTTTGTCAGCTTATTTAATATTTCCCTTAAGTAATGCATGTGCTGTAATCTCTTTCTTAATGAATGGTATTATGAGTCCAGGTATTTGCAGTATAAAGGTGTTATACAGTTTAAAGGAAAGGTATAATGAATAATTTACTATATAAGAAGAGAAAAGTTAAATGCTTCCAGTTAAATCAATCAGCAAACCTATACTTTCTCTATGCCCCTCATTAAACATTTGCAAAGGAAGTTGTGAATCTTTTATGTTTTGTATTAATTTAATAGTGTACTAAAAAATAATCTTTCCATTAGGTATTTGAAACCCTAGTGATTAATTTCCAGGGAAAAAAAAAATCAATTCAAAATGGCTAGGTAATGAGGTAGTCTAAAGACGTGCTTTACAGACAATACAGAAAATAGTGCATACTTATGAAAATATGCACTGAAACACTGTTTTTGAAAATACAAACAAACCACTACTTATATACCTTCTCCTCTAGAGTTAAAGGAATAAATGATTGCAATAAATGGAGAACTGTAAAGTTTTATGTCCCATATTTAATAGCCGTAAATCAGGTGCATTGTGCTGATAGGTATGATATTACTGCACTGTGAATGTCATTGTGTTATATGACTGTTTTTTATTCACCTTGACTTTTATCTGTGGGATCCTATGCATATGGAACCCCATAAAGCAGGCAGCATGCAATAATCCACAGGCTTCCAGCATTGGAGTTACTAGAGATGTAGTCCTCTGTAAATGCAACTGATATATCAATTTTCTCTTTGCTTTACCTTATCCTTCTTTTGTTTTTCATCTTGGTATATGATCCAGTGCTCCCCATCATTACTGTAAGCAAGCTTGTAGGACCCCACAAACTGGACGTGACCAAAATCTTTAGCTCCTTGGGTAATTATGCCGGTGATTTTTGTAGGGGCAAGCAGGTCAACCTAAACAAAACAAAACAGAAATAAAGCAAACCACTGGAGAACATAATTAGAACAGTTTCTGTTTGCAATCTGACTTCACACCACACCAAACCAAAGTGGTGCACCATGTCACACGTTGTTCGCAGACAGTTCTTGGATGCAGGGCAGGAAAACCCAGGACTGTTAAGAAACCCCTTAGAGCATGGTGGGAGTGCAGTCAAGACGAGGCTTTGCACTGCCTTGCGGTGCCCACCGCATGACGACACCATAGACGGTAACTTTCCTTCTCCAACCTCCAAGTCAATTTATTGTTGTATTCTGTTTGTTACTTGTTGTTTACACCACCTAATGGCTCAAAAGGGTTAATCTCACACCATTTCCCATGGTGCTAGGTGACACACATGGTCCCAACAAAAGGGCAGTCTCCACTGCAAACAATTTGTAGCCAAAAAGTGTTCCCACGTGCCCCTAATAATCAGAATACAATACGCCAGAGGTTGATTCCCCAAGTGCCTTTCCCTTTCCTTTGGAGTAACAGAGTCTGTACTATACTAAGGCTTTTAAAACATTTGCTATCACACTTCTTTTCCTGCTTAACTTTTATCTCTTTAAGCCTTTATTTCTTTTTCTGACACTAAAGTTCTGACTTTTTCATTCCTTTATTTTTTTGGAGTTCTTTATTTTATAATCTGAGCATAAGACTTTAAAAAATGCAGCACAGGAATCTTACAGCCTAATAAAAATCTGGGCTTTCAAGTGGCTTTCACACAGGTCAGCACATCTGTGAGCAGTCTTTTGAACCAGAACCCAACACTGAATATAATAGATTCAGGCCAGATGCCTTGGATTAAAATGATCAAGGAACAGTATGCAATAACAGAAGTAAATTGACCTAATAACATATTTTTAGAGGAGAAATGGAGGAGTTTAAATCCCTAGGAAAAGTGACATTTTCTTGAAATGTGAGGGTAAAACTGAGGGTTCCAGCAATGCAGCAAACCAGTAAAAAAAAAAAAAAAGAAAAAAGTTAGATTTATTTCAAACAATAAATGGCTGTGAAGCAGTTGGCATTTTTAACATTGTCCGTTAAATCAGGCAAGAGAGACTAATAGTAAAAATATTACTATTAAAATGAGAGCAGTGCTGAACTCCATGAGAAGATGAGCTATATATTTTTACAGCAAAAAAAATTAGAAAAAGAAAGTGAAGAAATAAAGGATCTTTGACTGATAAAATGCTGAAGATCCAGTCTTGCGATTTTGGGAAGCTGAGGCTACTTGAGCAGACAAGATTTTGACTGGAATGTGGGGCAAGACAGAAGAACATATGTGATGCAAAGCATAAAATATTAATCATGAGAAGAGAAGGAAAAATAAACAAGCATAAGAAATCAGCTAGCCTAAGCTGATGCCTTTGAAAGATGGACACTACAGTTTGGACCCTATAAAGAGGAAAACACAGAAAAGTGTAAGAGTATATTTATAAGAAAGAAAGAGGAAAAATGAGTGTAGAGAAATCAGGTAAGGAAGACTGGAGACTCTTGTCCCAATATTTGAAGACAGGTAGCAAATAATGAGTAGCAAATCCTTTTAAGAAAAGGAATAACTTAAAAGCTCTGATACTGAGACACTATGGCCATGAGTGGGAAATGGCATTGTCTGCAGATGAACCAAGAGTTTTGGTTCTATCAGAATGAACTGATTCATTGCCATCCCATTGCAGAGATCTTGCTCAGAGGTGCACCCCAGAATCCGAGGAAATTATCCTTGGGAGGCGAAATTCTTTTTGTTATCTCTTTGGTCAATAAAGAGAGAGAGAGGAACTCAATCAACGATCACTCAGAGCAGACATCAGCTTTGGATGCTCTTCTGGACTGCTTGAAGGAACCTTTTTCTTCTGTAAGGAGTGCAGGGGGGCTTGCTTCCACAGCCTAAGTGGGCCTCTGGGAATTGAGCACTTGCTAATTAGTATAAGTCTCTAATGAAATAATAAACATCAGGTCTCCAGACCTTGCTTCCAAATATTCTGGAGTCTAAATGTTGAGTCAGTTTTTCAAAAAAGCTGATTTCATAAGGTATCATTAATTGGTCCACACCTTCAGGCAGCATTTGAACTAAACAGTTCAGAGTCAACTTTAGATTCTCCTTATAAACAATTTTGACATTAAAATTTTCTAAGTGCAACTAACCTCTTTTTAGCAGAGAATGCTTCTTACACTAAATGTCTCTTCTGTTAGCTTGAAAAAATGCCTCCATAAAATGCTGTTTATTTTTAAAATGTTGCAAGTAATTTAATAGGATTTCACAAATATTTAACATGGCCATGATGCTCAGAGTATTTCTCACTGAAATTCAGAACAGGGAGAAAAAATTCTCATTAAGATTCAGGGGATTTCAAAGGTAAAATCACAATAAATCTTTATTATCACACAGATCCAGTGTTAATAAAAATGTCCTAGTAACAATTGCTTTGTGCTTATAGGACATATCCAGTGGCCTTGTACTCTTGTTCAGAAAAATGATGTGGGAAGCTGAAACGTAATTTGGCATATGTTCAGTCTTTTTTGAAAGACTTATATAGCACTATGTAGAATAGGTGTGCGTGTGTTTGTGTGTGTATTATATTTAAAAAAAACCCCAAAAAATAAAGACATTAACGAATAGGCAGACTGTGTTCCAGGTCTTGACAATACAGACAATATATATTGCTGGGGATGGAGGAAAAGACTAAAAGGATGTAGTACCAGCATCTCCTTCTCATACTTTAGTATCTTATTTACTTATTTATTCATAAACTGATGAGAAGCCTTCAGGCAATAAAGATTGCTATTAACCTAGCATTAAAAAAATACAGCTTTTACTTGGCTGTGTTATTACCTTTTGCAAAGGGTTAACACCCTTGCTTTTCATTCTTCTTATTGAAAGTGCTTTAGAGTAGAAAGGTGAGAAGAATTTACCCCAAATTCTAGGCAAAACATCTGCATTAAAATAGCTTAAACACAAGTCATAACTTCCCATCAGGATGCAGAACACATTTATTCAGTTAGTGCAGATTGCAAGCAACAGGCAATCAAACAAATTACCAGGGAGAGAAGCTGAATTAACACACAGCCACTATGTACTCTTCAAAGCTGAATGTGCTTAACAGGATCAGAATGTGACTTTTTCAATACAGCAGAATTTAGAACAGGGTAGAGGCAATTAGTCTGCGCCTGATAGGATCATTATCTGGTTACAAGAAGAACCACGGTTTACAGTTTAATGTACACTTCTACAGGCAGCTGATCAAAAAGCAGTTTAACATCTTGTGTCTGAAAGAACCCTCTTGGGCTATAGCTACTCCCTTTGTACCTATCTGTTTCCCACCTCGCTTCAGATGATAAGACGATTCATTGTGATTTAGAGGAGAATTAATTTAAGAAAAGCACAGCGATAAATCCACATGAATAGGAAACATTTTAAATGAACCACTGCATGCATTTGCAGCATGAACTGTGTGTCAATGTGCAGCTAAACGTGGAGTGACTAGTACTTGCACTGTGAGTAGGTCTTCTTGATCAGGAGAAAACAGTCACGTGCATGCTCTGAGTGGTCCAAAGCTAATAAACCTCAATTCTCAGGTTCTGACTATACAGATGTGACCAGTCTTCATATAGCCAACTTTACACCTGAACTCCTTGAGAACTGCAACTTATAGATGCAGAGACCTTCCACCTGGCAAAATTCACTTCTCCCTGGAGCAGGAACATAGCGATGAGACCTTTGGGAACAGCTGCCCATATACCAGTTTGGAGCTGTAAGCAACACAACTGCATTTGCATGTGACGTGCTTGAGCACAGATATACCATCTCTGGACTCAAGATGGTCCTCATGGTGATGCATTGCCTACCACAACTTACTGACTTGAGTCTCTGTTATATCAGGAAGCTCGGTACAAGTGAAGTAGATGTGCCATGAAATATCAACCATAACTTTCTGAACATCCCCTCCCTGCTCCCAACACACCTTTCCCTTCTTCTGTATACTTGGTGGAAAGAAATTCAGTTCCAGGCATTTGCTGGGACTATTAAGGAGGCAGGACAGCACATGAATCATAAGCCAGGTGTGGACAAGACTCAGGAAAGGAAGTGGGTAGCTTTCCTGAGATCACATGTGGAAGCTAGTGACCAAACAGCTCAAGTAGTCTCTCCAGGAACAGAAATATATGCTGCGACTCCAGCTTACAAGAAGACAAGCCTGAAGAAGGTACAAATTGCTGAAGTCTCCAGCACCTCAGACATTAACAGGAAAGATGGATCTAGGTGGCCCTGCATGGCAACCGGATCTGGATGGCCTTGCTTGATGGTGGGAGTTGGACCAGATGACCCTCAGAGGTCTCTTCAAACCTCAACTGTTCTGTGAGTTTCTAACACCTAGCAAAAACCACCCACACTGCCCAACGCACTGGACATTGGGAAACCAGTAAGCAAAGATAGGCTGCATTTACACTCACAAGCAGCACAGTGCAATGGGCACAGATCTGTACAGCAAAGCAGCTGATATAAAGAAGAGGATGGTCTACACAGTGTGTGCTGCAGGGTTTTTACTTCCAGCTAGTCTGGATCAATTTTTGAAGCGTGTTTTTTGGCTTAATTTCATCTGAAAGGAATCTATTTCATGCTCTGCAAGGACACTCCATCATGTGAACCAAAGCATAAAAAGTGGAGACAGTCTTTAAAAATAATACACTCCTTATCTACGTGGTAACCTTAAATAAGAAAGAACCTCAGAATCCAGAGAGCACCTCTGTATATATGTATATACACACACACACACACACACACAGACTTCCCAAAGATGATGGAGAGTGGTCTAGCAATGACTTCCGCCATCTCCCTCAGCACCCGCGGGTGCATCCCATCAGGACCCATGGATTTATGGGTGTCTAGATTACTTAACCGCTCCTTAACCCAGTTTTCATCTACCAAAGCAAACTCTTCCTTTGTCCTACCTTCCTCTGGGGCTTCAGGGGTACGGGGCTT